AAAGTAAAAGGAGGAAAGACAAAAAAAAGACAAAAGACAAAATTAATGAAATACAAAATAATTGTGAATAGAGAAAAGAAAAAGGTAAAAATTTGTTATTTGGAAAGAGTAATATTTATTCCATTTTTATTATTATGTTTATAATTTGCTTCCTTATTAGTGTTTTCTTCCTGGTTTCTTCGATTTATTTTGTCCTTTGATTTCTTAGTTCTTTTATTGAATTCTTAATTTTAAAATTCTTTTTAATATTTTTCTTTACAATGAAAGCTTTCAAGCTACACATTTTTTCCTTAATATTGCTTTTATTGTCACCATAGTTTCTGTGGTATTCAGGGTTTTCCTTTTTATTTCTTTCTTACAGATTCTATTTTTTAAAAAATTTTACTTTAGTTTTTGGCTGCGTTGGGTCTTTGTTGCTGTGCATGGGTTATCTCTAGTTGTGGCGAGCATGGGCTACTCTTCGTTGTGGTGCGTGGGCTTCTCATTGGCGTGATGTCTCTTGTTACAGTGGCTTCTCTTGTTGTGGAGCATAGCTCTAGGCATGCAGGCTCAGTAGTTGCAGCACGTGGGCCCCACAGCGTGCAGGCTTCCGTAGTTGTGGCACATGGGCTCTAGGGTGTGCAGGCTTCAGTAGTTGTATCACGCGGGCTCAGTAGTTATGGCTCTTGCGCTTTAGAGCACAGGCTCAGTAGTTGTGGTGCACGGGCTTAGATACTCCATGGCATGTGGGATCTTCCCGGACCAGGGCTCGAACTCGTATCCCCTGCATTGGCAGGAGGATTCTTAACCACTGCGCCACTAGGGAAGTCCCTTTTTTTCTTTCTTGATTGTTAGTAATTTTTGTTTTTCGTTTTCCTTTAATCCATGCATTATCTAGGAGCTTAAATTTCTAGATAGTGAAATTTTTAATTATTTATTTATGGATTATAATCAGAGAAATAGCCTATAAAATTATCTTCTTAAAATTTTGTATGTATACATGTGCTCTTAGGAAAAAAATTATATTTTTGTGAGTTGCAAGAATCTCTACCTAATAAATCATAGCCATTAATTGTATTTTTTTTGGCTGTGCCATACGGCTTGTGGGATCTACGTTTCCTGACCAGGGATTGAACCTGCGTCTCCTGTGCTGGAAGGCAGATTCTTTACCACTGGACCACCAGGGAAGTCCCCAGAATACCTATTTTTTGCACCAGGGTCACACTATTTCTCTTTTACTCCCTGTTTAACTTGAGGAAGTTGAAATACTTTGGAATATTTCTTACCTCTTCTTCTCTCATCCCTTCTGTCTGTCCTCTTGAAACCTTTAAAAAGTTTTTACTTCATCATTCTCCCACTCCCCAACCCCTTGATTTTTCTAATATAGTTAAGTATTTAAAAAGAATTCCCTGGGGGACTTCCCTGCTGGCGCAGTTGTTAAGAATCTGCCTGCCAATGCAGGGTACACGGATTTGAGCCCTGGTCCGGGAAGATCCCACGTGCTGCGGAGCAACTGAGCCTGTGTGCCACCTGTGTGCCACAACTACTGTGCATGCACTCTAGAGCCTGTGTGCCACAACTGCTGAAGCTGTGCGCCTAGAGCCTGTGCTCCACAACAGGAGAAGCCACTGCAATGAGAAGCCTGTGTGCAGCAACGAAGACCCAACGCAGCCAAAATAAATAAACAAATAAACAAAATATTTTAAAAATAAATAAAATAAAAAGAATTCCCTGGGACTTCCCTGGTGGTCCAGTGGTTAAGATTCCATGCTCCCAATTCAGGGGGCCTGGGTTTGAACCCTGGTCAGGGAACTAGATCCCGCATGCTACATCGAAGATCCTGCACATGGCAACGACAATCCAGTGTGCTGCAACTAAGACCTGGTGCAGCCAAATAAATAAATACATAAATAAATATTTAAAAATAAATAAAAAGAATTTCCCTTAACAGCATGTCTCTTTTTAAAAACAGTTATGGGCTTCCCTGGTGGCGCAGTGGTTAAGAATCCGCCTGCTAATGCAAGGGACACGGGTTCGAGCCCTGGTCTGGGAAGATCCCACATGTCGCGGAGCAGCTGAGACTGTGTGCCATAACTACTGAGCCTGTGCTCTAGAGCCCGTGAACCACAACTACTGAAGCCCACGCACCTAGACCCCATGCTCAGCAACAAAGAGAAGCCACCGCAATGAGAAGCCTGCGCACTGCAACAAAGAGTAGCCCCCACTCACCGCAACTAGAGAAGGCCCGTGCACAGCAACGAAGAGCCTACACAGCCAAAAATAAATAAATCTTAAAAAAAAAAAAAAAAGACAAAGTGCATCAACGAGAAGTACATCCAACTATATGAGTAAATAGTAGAAACGTGTTGAGTAAAAAAATTATTTGAAAAAATTATTTGATATAATTTCTATAACGTTCAGAAACCCTCATAGTATGTTGTAAAACTTGAAAATAAAATGACAGATTCAGGCTTAGTTACTTCTGGGGATGGATGAGAGAGTAGGATTAGGGAGAGGAACATAGAGGTCTTTAAGGGTATTATCATCATACAGTCCTCAAGTGTATTATAATACATTCCTCAAAATGTGTATGAAAATTGACCAGGAGACTTGACATGTTCTATTGTGTGGTGGTGAGAAGTATTGTGTTTCAAATAAGAATGTATTGAAGATATTCTTCCATGATGTAACAACATATAGGAGCACCTGGAGGTTGAGGAAAGGGAGCTGGAGAAGATGTATTGATCACAAGTTTGACTCTTTCCTGGGTACCCAACTCAACACCATTCCCTCTTGCCTTATGAGACTCAAGTCACGTTTGAGCCCTTCTGACATGTACCTGCAGTGGGTACGAGTAGGCAGGGATACTAAGGTAATCCTATTTTGGGGAGGTATGGAACTCCTTTGATGGGTGGCTTTTGCTCTAAAACTCTTAAATAGCTTTACCAAACTTTCTTAGAACTGCTGTGTAGTCTAAGACTCTTGCTACCCAACCTTCATCCTTCCTACTCTTCCCTACAGGGATCAGAACAGCATTGTGAGCTTATGTTTTGCCCAGCTTCCTGTAGCTCACTTCCCATTGTCCCTCACAGGCATTACCCTCAATCAATCTCTCTTGCATGTCTGATCCCATCTCTTTTTTGGAAAACCTAAACCACTGCATGGGTCAATATGTGTGAAGTGCTTGGTACATCGTAAGCAGTCAATACATGCTAGTTTGTGTTATAGTAAATTAAGTAAGAGATGATGGTAATTTTCACTGTGGTAGTGGTGATGGATGGAAATGTCCAAATTGGAGAGACATTTAGCTGATGGATACAATAGGACTGTGATTGAATTATAAAAGGGTTAGTTTGCCCAGTTTCTTGCTTATCACTCCCCACTTCACACTTGACAGCCAAGCCACATTGATTTGTTAATAGTTCACTGCATACACCCTAGTGATCTATAGTTCTTTACTCACATTGTGACTTCATAAAATATCCTTCCCCCACCCTCTTTTGCCTGGCAAAATCCTACTTGTTCATTGAGATAAGCTTAGGAATCAACTCTTCCAGGGAGTCTTCCCTTTTTCTCTTTACCAGTCACTTCCATCCTTTCCTTCTCCTTGGGTTCCTAAACCATCTTATGTTTATAGGCTTAGTAGTCATAAGCATTGAAATATAATCAATCTATTTTTGTATCAGTTTCTTCTTTTAGACTCTAGATTTCTTTAGCCACGAGGTGAGATTGCAGAGGTATTACAGGGGTCAATTAACCATTTTGTACTTTATTCAAAGAGCAATGGGAAACCGTTGGAGGACTTGAAATATAGAGGCAGTAAGATGTAATTTGAGTGTTATGATGATCACTTTAGCTACTGTTGGATGGATTAGAGGGGTGCAAGAGTAAATTAAGGGAAATGGTTTGATGTGGGCTCTAGAGCCCAATTGCCCATGTAATTGCCATATACTAGCTGGGTAATCTTGGCAATGTTACTTAACCTTTCTTTGCCTCAGTTTCCCCATCTGTAAAATGGCAATAAAATAGTACTACTTCAGGGTTGCTGTGAAGGTTAAGTGAGTTAAAACAGCTTAGAATAGTATTTGGCATATAGTAAGCAGTTAGCTGTTACCTATTATCTTGTTATTTAACAGATATTTGTGTGCTTACTACATCTGCTCTGGGCCAGATACCACTATTAAGCCGAATTTAACAAATGATGAAAGCAAGTTCAAATTAATATGCAGACAGAACTTTAGATTATAATTATGTCCCTAAGAATCTGAATGTAAAACAGACTATTTGGCCATTGTTATGATGTTACAATTCTAGAGATATTTTTTGGTTTTTTTGACATTTTTTATGGTAGGGGCTCTATAAAGTACTGGGGAACGTTTTTTGAATAAAAGAATCCCCAGTATAAGACTCTATCCTTTTGTTATGTTTCCCTGCTCTACAATATAGTAATTAAAAAATTCTCTCTGTGAACATGTATTAATATTAAATATATTTCTATAATGAATGATCTTTGGGTAAAATATGTCAGATTTATAGTTTAAAGAGCTTTTGTTTCTGTTTATTTTAAATAAAGGGGGCACAGTGGTAATTGATGTGTAAATGTGATGAATGTATGGGGGAAACTAGGAATTTTGCTGTAATGGTATTTAAATTACAAATTTTCTAAAAAAGGATAGTTTATATATATTGTGTTATATATTAAAGGATTTATACTTGTCTTTGCACAAGAAAATATTGATAGTATTTAACTTTGGGAGTCTGATTGGGAGATCCTTTTATAATTTAAAAATTTAATCAGTAAGTGGCAAAGATTTAAGGAAAGCAATGACAAAGAAAATAGAAGCAAATGTTTATATATGAGGTGGCTTACAAAGAATGCTTGGTTCATGTGAATGGATTCAAGCACCCTTGAATGGTCCATGGAAGGGTGTCCATGGTCCATGGAAACTGTATTGAAACAGAACAGAGTGCTTTGTTCTTTTTCCAGTGTTAATGTTTGTTTACCTGCTTTATTTTTACAGGGATGTACATGCAGTCTGTCTCTGGGATGATAAAGGCCCAGCAAAAATTCATCAGGCTTTAAAAGAAGATATTCTTGAGTTTATTAAGCAAGCACAGGCAGTAAGTTTTGCATCTATATATTATTTAAGACTTTACTCAGAGAATATCGTATTTTCTGGTTTTGAATGTAGGGCTTCCTGAAGTAATTTTAAAATATCACATTAACTTTTTTTTTTTCACATTAACTTTTGACACACTTGGCTAAATAAATTTTTTAATGAAATGATTGTCATTTGTTGTTTTTACCCCCCTCCCTCACTGACATTTCTTTCAAAAGAATATATTATTATCCTCAATTAAAATGTGCTATAAAAAGAATTTCATTTTTAATACAATCTTTAGAAATCCCCACCACCATTATTTTTTGGCCACACATCAGTTCACATAAATCATTTTTTTCCTCACAATACTTACTCTTTTCAAGCTGACAGCAATTTTCTTCAATTCTAAATACTTCTCCGACTGTAATTCTTGGACTGTCCTTTGCATTGCTGCTGCTGAGCTGAAATTCAGCACTCTTGAGTTGATGATATGTATAAGTGTTTAGTATTATTGAAATGAAGATACAGCTCATTTAGGCATTAGGTCAGTTATGCAAGAGCTAGTTTGTTTTTGTCTTTATTAACACCTTTGTTTTTTGGGAAAAATTAATGCAGAGGTAAAGTATTATTTCAGATCAACTCTGGCATCACTAATGCATCCTTTACCACTTTGGAGAAGGGCCTAAAGACATGAGATTATTTTCCTTTCTATAAAATGAAGTTTGAAAACTAGAGAGCTAGAATTTGTTATTCTTTATTTGAAATTTTACATCATTGTCTTGTACAACATTAGTAAAAGTCTGTTAGAAATCTTGTTGAATATTAATAAGTGTTAGCAGTTGGAAATTAAAAATGAATATATAACTTAAAGGAAGATACTGAAATTGAATATATGATTGGTATATATTTAATTCTGTTAGTAGCCACTACCATGATAAAATAAGAATGATGTCACATTGGATGTTACTTACAAAATGAAATGTTTTATTGATGACACCATTAATTCTGCTGTCTTGATCAATGATTGTTTAAAAATTAGAGTTTTATAAGGAAATTTTTTTTTTTAGGAAATTATCTTTTAATGAAAATAAATCATCAGGTTTGCTTAGAAAAATTAAATGTTTCAATGTCACAGTTTAATCAAAACATACATTTTTCTAGAACTGATTTAGGAAAACAGTTTCTGCTTGCATTGGAAAGCATATCAGCTTATCTGTTTATGACTTTTGGTGAAGATAAATTATGTTTATTTCAAATTGATAGAGCATTATTCCTTAGTTTCTGGAAATGGGCTCACAAAGAATCATCTTAGAAATATACTTCACACTAGAAAACAAAGTATGTTCAGGGTTTGGAATGATATTTGGAACGATCCAGGAAAGTTTGGAATGTAGACCTTAGCAAGAACTTGAGGATGGGATTTAGTGCCACTAATTCAGAGCAGTTAAATTGCAGGACTGGCAGTGCCAGACATGGGTGTATAATTTTAAAACATTTAAAAACTTTTAAGAAGATCTAGCTTTGTGAGTTTACTAGTCAATTACTAGACTAATTGAGTTTATCCTGTTAGGAAGGACCAAATCTCCCAAATAGGACAGTGAGCATTAAAATGTTTATTATAGCATTATTGAAAATGATGAAAAGAAATAAAAATAAATATGCAATGCTTGGAAAGTTATTAGGATATTGAATTTTTTCTTGTTTTGTTTGTTTTGTTTTTAAGATTAACGTAACCCTTCTATTTGTATTGGGTTGGCCAAAAAGTTCGTTCGGGTTTCCTGTAACGACATATGGAAAAACCTGAACAAACTTTTTGGCCAACCCAATACATAATTCTGTGGCTTAGCAATTTGGGCTAGGCTCACCTGATTTTGCCTGAGCTTATTAATATGGCAGCAGTAAGGCTCTTCAGGGACTGGATGGTCTAAGAGAGCTTTTCTCATATTCCTGGTGTTTGGTACTATCCTGGCTTCCCTCTGGGGCTTTTTCCCCCTCACGTGGTTTCTTGTTCTCAAGGAAACAGTCTTTTTGGTGTGATAGTGTAATCTTGCAAATCTCTTCAGGTCTTGGCTCAGAAGTCTCACAATGTCACATCTACAGCATTTTGTTGGTCACAGTTAGTCACAGGACCAGCTAAAGTCCAGTGGTGGAGAAATAAGACTAGGAGCTTTAAAAAAAAAAAAATTGAGATATAATTTACATACCAAAATTCACGCTTTTAATAAGTGTATAATTGTGTGTGTTTTAGTATACTCATAAAGTTGTACAACCATCACCCACTAATTTTAGAACATTTTCATCAGCCCATATAGAAACTCTGTACCCATTAGCAGTTACTTCCGCATGACCCCCCCCCCCCCCCCGCCACTTTGGCAAACACTAGTCTACTTTCTGTCCCTATGGATTTGTTTATTCTGGACATTTCCTATAAATGGAATCCTACAATATGTGGCCTTCTATGACTGACTTCTTTCACTTGGGATAATGTTTTCAAGGTTCATCTATATTGTAGCATTTAGCACTATTTCATTCCTTCTTATGGCAGAATAATATTCCATTGTATGACTGTGCTGTATTTTGTTTACCTGTTTGTCATTGATAGACATTGGGTTCTCACTATTTTTTGTCTGTTTTGAATAATGCTGCTGTGAACATTTGTGCACAAGTTTTGTTTTAGGTATAATTGACACATAACATGATACTAGTTTCAGGTGTACGACATAATGATTCAATATTTGTATGTATTGCAAAATGATCACCACAGTAAGTCTACTTTCACATCCGTCACCATATGTAGTTACAAATTTTTTTCTTGTGATGAGAACTTCTAAGATTTACTCTTCTTAGCAACTTTCAAATGTATACTACAATATTTTTTTTTTTTTTTCGGTACGCAGGCCTCTCACCGCTGTGGCCTCTCCCGTTGCGGAGCACAGGCTCCGGACACGCAGGCCCAGTGGCCACGGCTCACGGGCCCAGCTGCTCCGCGGCATGTGGGATTCTCCCTGACTGGGGCATGAACCTGCGTCCCCCGCATCGGCAGGTGGACTCTCAACCACTGTGCCACCAGGGAAACCCATACTACAATAGTATTAACTGTAGTCACCATGCTGTACATTACACCTGTGTGACTTTTTAATTTTTAAAATTTATTTATTTATTTATTTTTGGCTGCATTGGGTCTTCATTGCTGCACGTGGGCTTTTCTCTAGTTGCGGAGAGCAGGGGCTACTCTTTGTTGTGGTGCATGGGCTTCTCATTGCGGTAGCTTCTCTTGTTGTAGAGCACAGACTCTAGGCACGCGGGCTTCAGTAATTGTGGCATGCAGGCTCAGTAGTTGTGGCTTGTGGGCTCTAGAGCACAGGCTCAGTAGTTGTGGCGCATGGGCTTAGTTACTCCGCGGCATGTGGGATCTTCCCGGACCAGGGCTCGAACCTGTGTCTCCTGCATTGGCGGGTGGATTCTTAACCACTCTGCCACCAGGGAAGTCCCCCTAATTTATTTTTATAACTGGAAGTTTGTACCTTTTGACCCCCTTCACCCATTTTGATCCCTCTCCTCCCCATCCCTCTGCCTGCCGATCACCAATCTGTTCTCTGTATCTGTGAGCTTGGGGGTTTTTTTTGTTGGGTTTTTTGGGTTTTGGGGGGTTTGTTTTTTGATTCCACATGTAAGTGAGATCATAAGGTATTTATTTGTCTTTGTCTGACTTATTTCACTAAGCGTAATGCTCTCAAGGTATCCATGTTGTCACAGATGGCAAGATTTCATTCTCTTGTATGGCTAAATGATATTCTCTTGTGTCTATATACCACATTTTCTTTATCAGTTCATCCATTGTTGGACATTTAGATTGTTTCCATGTCTTGGCTGTTGTAGATAATGCTGAAGTGAACATGGGGGTACATATATCATTTTGAATTAGTGTTTTTGTTTTCTTTGGATAGATACCAAGAAGTGGAATTGCTGGAAAATATGATAATTCTATTTTTAATTTTTTGAGGAATCCCATGCTGTTTTCCGTAGTGGCTGCACCAATTTACATTCCCACCAACAATGTACAAGGGTCTCCTTTCTCCACATCCTCAACAACACTTATTTGTTGTCTTTTTTATAATAACCATTCTAACAGGGATGGGGTGATATCTTACTGTGGTTTTGATTTGCATTTTTCTAGTGATTAGTGATGTTGAGCATCTTTTCATGTACCTGTTGGCCATCTCTGTGTCTTTGGGAAAATGTCTATTCAGATCCTCTGCTCATTTTTTTTTTTAATTAGTTTATTTATTTATTTATTTTGGCTGCATTGTGTCTTCGTTGCTGAGCGCAGGCTTTCTCTAGATGTGGTGAGCAGGGGCTACTTTTCGCTGTGGTGCTTGGGCTTCTCATTGCAGTGGCTTCTCTTGTTGTGGAGCATCGGCTCAGTTGTGGCTTACGGGCTCTAGAGTGCAGGCTCAGTAGTTGTGGCACAGGGGCTTAGTTGCTCCATGGCATGTAGATTCTTCCCAGACCAAGGATCAAACCCATGTCCCCTGCATTGGCAGGTGGATTCTTAACCACTGTGCCACCAGGGAAGTCCCTCTGTTCATTTTTAATCAGAATTTTTTTTTTTTTTTTTGCTATTGAGTTGTGTGAGTTCTTTATATATACTTTGCATATTAACCCCACATCAGATATATGATTTGCAAATATTTTCTCCCATAGGTTGCCTTTTGTTTTGTTAATGGTTTCGTTTGATGTGCAGAAGCTTTTTAGTTTGATGTAGTCCCATTTGTTTGTTTTTGCTTTTGTACCTTTGCTTTTGGTGTCAAATCCAAAAGATCATCACCAAGACTGGTGTCAAGGAATTTGCTACCTATGTTTTCTTTTAGAAGTTTTATGGTTTCAGGTCTTATGCTCAAGTCTTTAACTCATTTTGAGTTAATTTTTGTAAGATAGTTGTCTAGTTTCATTCTTTTGCATGTGGCTGTCCAGTTTTCCTAACACCAATTATTGAAGAGACTGTTCTTTCCCCACATATATTTTGACTCCTCTGTCATAAACTAATTGACCAACTATGCGTGGGTTTATTTCTGAGCTTTCTGTTTTGTTCCGTTGATCTGTGTGGTCTGTTTTTATGCCAATACCATACTGTTTTGATTACTAGCTTTGTAATGTAATTTGAAATCAGAAAGCATGATGCCTCCAGCTTTGTTCTTATTTCTGTGAGCTTTGGCTATGTGGGGTCTTTTATGGTTCCATACAAATTTTAGGATTCTTGGCTCTATTTCTGTGAAAAATGTCATTGGAATTTTGATAGGGATTGCACTGAATCTGTACTACTTTGAGTAGTGTGGACATTTTATTTATTTATTTATTTATATTTATTTTGGCTGCCCTGCATCTTAGTTTTGGCATGCGGGATCTTCATTGTGACGTGTGGACTTCTTAGTTGCGGCATGCAAACTCTTAGTTGTGGCATGCAAACTCTTAGTTGTGGCATACATGTGGGATCTAGTTCCCCGACCAGGGATCGAACCTGGGCCCCCTGCATTGGGAGTGTGGAGTCTTACCCACTGGACCACCAGGGACGTCTCAGTGTGGACATTTTAACAATAGCATTGTAACAGTCTGTGAGCGCAGAATATCTTTTCATTTATTTGTGTCTTATTCAGTTTCTTTCATCAGTGTTTCAGTGTAGGTCTTTCACCTCTATAGTTAAATTTATTCTTAGGTATTTTATTCTTTTTGATGTGATTTTAAACAGGATTCTTTCCCCCTAATTTCTCTTTTTGGTAGTTTGTTATTAGTGTATAGAAACTCAACAGATTTTTGTATGTTGATTTTTCTATCCTGCAACTTCACTTAATTCATTTGTTATTTTTTGGTGGAGTCTTTAGTGTTTTTCTGTATATAATATCATGTCATCTGCAAATAGTGACAGTTTTATTCCTTTCTTTCCAATTTGGGTGCATTTTATTTCTTTTTCTTGCCTAATTGCTCTGGACAAGATTTCAAGTACTGCTTTGAAAAGGAGTGGTGAGAGTAGGCATCCTTGTCTTATTCCAGATCTTAGAAGAAAAGATTTCAGCTTTTCACCATTGAATATCATGTTAGCTGTGAGCTTGTCATATATGGCCATTATTACATTGGGGTGCATTCCCTTTATACCTACGTTTTTGAGAGTTCTTAATCATAAATAGATATTGCATTTTGTCAAATCCTTTTTCTGCATCTATTGAGATGATCGTATGAGTTTTAGTCATTCTGTTAATGTGGTGTATCACACTGATTAATTAGTGAATGTTGACCCATCCTTGCATCCCTGGAGTAAATCCCACTTGATCGTGGTGTATGATCCTTTTAATGTGCTGTAGAATTTGGCTTGCTAGTATTTTTTTTCAGAATTTTTGCATCTGCATTCATTAGGGATTCTGGCTTGTAATTTTCTTTTTTTGTGGCATCTTTGTCTGATTTTGGTATCAGGGTAATACTAACCTTATAAAATGAGTTTGGAAGTGTTCCCTGTGTTTTGGAAGAGTTTAAGAAGGATTGGTATTAGTTCTGGTTTAAATGTTTGGTAAGATTCACCAGTGAAGCCATCTGATCCTGGACTTCCATTTGTTGGGAATTTTTTGATTATGAATTCAGTCTTGATAACTTACCAGTAATCTATCAGATTTTTTTTTCCTCACCATTGAGTTTTTTTGATTATATGTTTCCAGGAATTTATCCATTTCTTATAGGTTGTCAGATTTGTTGGTGTTTAATTGTTTGTAGTAGTCTCTCATGATCCTTTGTATATCTGTGGTATCAGTTGTAACGTCTCCTCTTTCATCTTTGATTTTAGTTATTTGTGTCCCCTTCTTGGTGAGTGTGCACAAGTTTTTTGTGGTTTTTTTTGTTTGTTTGTTTTGTTTTTGTACACAGATGTTTATAGCAGCATTATTCATTATAGCCAAAGGTGGAAATGACCCAAATGTTCATCAGTGGACAAACAGATAAAAAAAGTGTGGTATGTCCATAAAATGGAATAGTATTTAGCAGTAAAACAGAATAAAGTACTGACATATACTACAACTTGGACAAGCCCTGAAAAACTATGCCATATAAAAGGAGTCAGTCATAAAAGTCTACATATTATATAATCTCATTCATATGAAAGTCCAGAATAGGCAAATACATAGACACAGAAAACAGATTAGTGGTTGCTTAGGGCTGGGCGGGGAGGGGGGGAACTAGGAAGGGAGGAAGGTAGGAAGGTAATAGCTAAAGGATATAGGGGGTTTTTTAATTGAAGTATAATCGACATATAACATTTTATTGGTTTCAGGTGTACAACATGATTCAATATATGTATATATTGTGAAATGTTCATTACAGTAAGGCTATGTGAACAAGTTTTAATTTCTCTTTGATATATATATATATGTTTTCTTTTGGGTATAATATAGGTTATACAGTAAATAAAATATTTTAAATTTATGGCATGAATATGTTCCATTATTCTTTAAAGCACCTGTATTTATTTAAAATTGGTATGATTCTTTGTTTTCAGCGAGTACTGAGCCATCAAGATGATACAGCTTTGCTAAAAGCTTATATTGTTGAATGGCGAAAATTCTTCACACAGTGTGATATTTTACCGAAGCCTTTCTGTCAACTAGAGATTACTTTAATGGGTAAACAGGGCAGCAATAAAAAATCAAATGTAGAAGACAGTATTGTTCGAAAGGTAAGTTAGTTTTCCCATTTTTCCCTAATGTTCTTCAGAAATAGGGTGAGTTGAAGACTTTTGAAAGAAATTTACACTGAAATGAGTTTTTCTACTTCACATATGAATTCCTTTTCAGCTTTTGCCAGGTTTTATTGAATAATATTAGTTTTCTTTCGTCTTTTTTTAGCTTCATTTCTCTTTCATCTTTTATGTGGTCTTAAGCTGTAAATCTGTGTCTTCAAACATTACCTCATTTGCTTTTCCTTTTCACGTTCTCCTTTTCCTAGTTTTATCTTCATAATTTTATTTCATTATTCTTTCTCTGTACTTTTACCTTTCTATAAATTCAATTACTTTTTTTCTGTTCAAAAAGTCTTTCCTTATTAGGTTACCTTCTGGTATCTTTGTGTTTAATTGTGGCTAAACTGCTGTCATCTTTATCATTTTTTTACTTAATTCTAGTTATTATAAACTCAGAATGTACCATGTTTATTTTCATATTTTGCCTAGTTTCTAGTTAAAAGCTCTGTGCCCAGTAACAACTCATGAATTAATGGAAAGAACTCAGCTCTGAAATTGAAGAGTCCCAGGTTTCCCTTTCAATTCTTCAGTCAATAATGTCCTAAGCTTGCTGTCCTCATTTTTCATATTCATAAATACACACACACACACACACACACACACATATACACATACACACACATATATTTCTACTTGTGAGAATCAAATGGAACCACAGATTTGAAAAGTAAAAAATGCCATTTGAACTTTGAACAACTCACTGCTTGCTGTGATGGTTCTAGCAATCAGCTCAGGCATTTCAATAGTGTCTTGGACCTTGTTGCCCCTTCCCAGCCTTAAAATTTGTACTAATGCTGACAGCATACTCATGAATACGTATATGCCATTTTCATCATTTAAACAGAACATCCATAGTGTGGATTTGTATATTCTTTTCTTTTTGAGATTCATTATCAAACATATTTTCATTTGGTCCTTTTCACATTTATCATATATTTGTACAAACATTCATATGACCATCCCAAACACATATCAGTATCTCTGAAATACAGCCTTGGAACTGTAGGGAAAGTGACATTTTCCATGTATTACCATATTAAGTTTTACAACAACCACTTGAAATTTGTACTGTTATTTTCACTATTTTACAGAAGAGAAAGCAGGCAAATAAGTAACAGCTGGAATTCAAATCCAGTTGTGTTTGATTCTGAAACACTTGTTCTTTTGTCAGTATTTACCACGTGATAGTTACCAAATTTAAATATACTGCTTTCCTGGGACTTCATTGGTGGCGCGGTGCTTACAGATCCACCTGCCAGTGCAGGGGACGTTGGTTGATCCCTGGTCCGGGAAAATCCCACCTGCCGCAGAGCAGCTAAGCCCTTGCACCACGACTACTGAGACTGCACTCTAGAGCCCACAAGCCATAACTACTGAGTCTGTGTCCCACAACTACTGAAGCCCGCACACCCTAGAACTCACGTGCTGCAACTGCTGAGCCCATGCACCGCAACTACTGAAGCCCTTGTGCTCTAGGGCCTGAGTGCCGCAACTACTGAGCCCACATGCTGCAACTACTGAAGCCCAGTGCGCCCAGCCTGTGCTCCGCAACAAGAGAAGCCACCGCAATGAGAAGCCCACACACCACAATGAAGAGTAACACCCGCTCACCACAACTAGAGAAAGCCTGCGCGTGGCAACGAAGACCCAAAGCAGCCAAAAATAAAAATAAATAAATAAATATGTTGCTTTCCTGTAGTATTCAAGTGAATGTAGGTCTAAGAATTTTATTTCCTTTTTTAGCATTTGTACTTAAAATTTTTTGTGTGTATTTATGGTACTTGGTATATTAATAATTGAAATGATGGCATATTTTCTTCTTTTTTTCCTAGCTCATGCTTGATACATGGAATGAGTCAATCTTTTCAAATATAAAAAACAGACTTCAAGATAGTGCAATGAAGCTGGTACATGCTGAAAGATTAGGAGAAGCTTTTGATTCTCAGCTTGTCATTGGAGTAAGAGAATCCTATGGTATGTTCTGAACCTTTATGATCAAATTTCCTTTTCATGGAAATTAAGACAATTATAGAATAGTAGTCTCAAAGTTATGTTTATTAGAATATAGTCGCATCTACTTTTAGTGCCACATGAAATTAAGAGTACATAAAAGATATTCTGTTTTAATGAAAGCTACAAAAGTTTATATTCGTGTGGTTAATATTTATTTTCTCCATTTCACTCATTTCTTGGCTAGTGAATCTTTAGCAACCTATATTAGAGAAATGTAGATTCGAGTCTCTAGCTTATGAAAGGTAACTGGTTTTGCACTTATATTTTTAGGACATCAGTTTATTCCATGTGTATATTCTGGAATTTCTAAACTTTTCAGTGTCTGATAGTGATACTCTCATTTTTCGTTCAATCAAATGTGCTGTTTCCTCTGACCAGAATACTTTTCTTCCTCTTTTATTTGCTAACTCATCCTCATTCTCTGTTTCCTCGTGGAGGCCTTTCCTAATTCCCAGAGTAGGTTAGGTGCTTCATAGTACCTGTGCTTCTCTGTCGTAATACTTCAGTGTATTTAACTGTGTTCTTGACACTATATCTTTACTGAACATAGAACGCCTGATGCAAAATAGTTGCCGATAAGAAAGTTTTATATAAATGAACCTTTATTTATCTTTGACTTGCTTTCTCCATTGCCATTGTGTTTCTTTAGGTATCAAGTCTAGATTTTCATTAGCCATGTCCCTGAAATTTATTTCTTTTTATTTCAACTGCCACCAGTTAAGACTTCTTTGAATTCTACTTCTAGACTTTTCAAACAGTCTTCTTATAGTGATGTTATTGCTATCATTTAGCCCTTATACTTTCACAAGATTAATTTTTAAATATAATTTTATTGGTGTTTTTCTTACCCATTTAGTGGTAGGCCATGCTAAATTCAGGTTACTTAGCCAGAGATTTGAGGTTCTCCATAACCATTCCTAACTTACTATTCTACCTTACCTTCTATTAACCTTACAATCCACGCAGACAACCTCGTTGTTATACCTCAGTTTGATCTTGTGTTGTTCTACTTCTGAATATTTACTTCCTTTACTAATCAGTGTAAATCCTACTTTGTTCCTAAAGACTCAATTCAAATCCCGTCTTTTCTGTGAATGGTTTCTTGATCATCCAGTTTGAAGTCAGTCTCTTTCCTATTCAAAAATAAAATAGTTTATGTTATCTATACTATTTGTCACTTTACTACTCTGTACTATTATCTTTTTAAGTTTCTTATAAAGAAGGATTTTGTCTTTCATGGCTTTATGTTCTCTTGAGCATTGTCACAGTTCCTTGAACATGACTCCTCAATATTTGTTATTTCATTTATTGTACTCAAAATACTGATTTGAATCATAATTAGAATAAAATTTTATTTTCTGTTTTTCAGTTAACCTTTGTTCTAATCCAGAGGATAAGCTTCAAATTTATAGGGACAATTTTGAGAAGGCATACTTGGATTCAACAGAGAGATTTTATAGAACACAGGCACCTTCGTATTTACAACAAAATGGTGTACAGAATTATATGAAATATGTAAGTGAGAACTTAGTATATGTGGTAATTTGAGCTGTTTTCTTGATTTTCTTAAAATGATTGCTATTTTGCTTCTGGACAGGCAGATGCTAAATTAAAAGAAGAAGAAAAACGAGCCCTACGTTATTTAGAAACAAGGCGAGAATGTAACTCTGTTGAAGCAGTAAGTAATTTTGTAATTGTTTATTCTTTGAGATTATTTGAAGTACAGTAGCCGGGGTGGTATATACATGAAGCAAGTAACATTATTTATCCTTTCTCACTTCTGTGACCAATATTACTAATTGATTTTAGTACTCGTTCCTAGTGAACCAAAGTACAACTTCAGGAGGCACGTTACTCAGAACTCATTGTTCTTCAGAGCTAATGTGCAAGATAAAATCTGTTTGCCATCCCTGCTCTAGACTTTTCTAAATTTAATGTACTTAATTTTTAATCAATCTCCTTCTATTATGTTTTGTGCCTACCTAAAGTTAACCATATTAGGGATTTTCAGGTATCAAGTAAAGTATGCTCCTGAGAGATACAGTTGATTCTCAGTATTGATGGTAATTACATTCTGTAAAATAGTGGCTGCGAATACTGAATGAGCACCAAACCGTTACTACTAGGGGATATTTCTTCTTTTTATGTGAGGGTGTTTTCAAACTTTTCTTGTCATGAGATAAAATATTAATTACTTGATAAGAGAACATCAATCTTTTAAATAGTTTTTAATTATTTTATGTTGTAAGTTCCTCATTAAAAGAAAGAAATGATCAGAGGTAGTAGCCATGCTACAGTGTCTATTCTGGTGTTTTCTTTTACATGGATGATGACCTTAGTGTGCTTTGTTAAGGAATTTAAGAATCAAGTTTGGATAGAGTCTTAGAAATTGCTCAAATATAGCAATAATATTTCTTCCAGTTCCTTTCAGTCTTTGGAGCCTACAAACTAGATTTAGATTCACATTCAAAGAAGTAACATTCCAGTTTGCTTACAACCAGACATTTTTCAACTATGGATGGGATTTCTTTTTTTCTTACTTCTGATTTTTCTTTGGCTTCTTCCATCTTGAGTGATAGTCATGTTTATTTGTTCAGAAATTGGACTGAGTTGGATTGTTTTTCCCTTTTTTGTTTGTTTTGCTTTTTATTGTGTACAGTATGTATCCTCTTTCATATAACTCTGATATTGGCCAGAGAAGGGGGCAGATTTAGTGGTTGCTTATCGAAGCTCTCTATAGAGATTTAAAGCCAGGCTTGAACTTCATTCAGAAGGTAGGGGGGCCATTGAATATTTTTTAAACAAATAATGCTATGCTCAAACTTAATCCGTCAGAAAAATTAATCTAGTGTCAGTATGACAGATTAATTGGATTGGGGGGGACTTCCCTGGTGGTCCAGTGGCTAAGACTCTGTGCTCGCAGTGCATGGGGCCTGGGTTCGATCCCTGGTCAGGGAACTAGGTCACGCATGCCACAACTGAAGATCCTGTGTGCTGCAACTAAGACCAGCACAGCCAAAAAAATAAATTTTTAAAAATTGGAGTGGAGAATAGCTTGGAATAGGAAGTGGGAGGCTTTTGCAATAATTCAAGCAAGGTATTAGGAGTGCCAGGTAGGGTTATAGCAATGGGAATGGAAAGAAAGAGGGTAGAGACAGACTTCCCAGAGGTGGAACATTGTAATATGAATGGGGCTGATGTTGGAGAGAACTGAGTTAACAGTGTTTCTAAGGTTTTGGCTTGGGAGAATTGTGCTGCTGCGGGAAGATCAGGTATAAGAATAAATCTTCGTTGTGAGGGAAAAAAGATGAGGTTAGTTAGAGGGATTTGAATATTTTGAATTGATTGGTGGGCCTATACCTCCTGGATGGGGATGTTGTAAGTTTGTAAGATAGAGTTGTTCTTCTATTCTTATACTCTATTTTATACATCTTAGTTGTATCATATTTATAGTAAACTTAAATAAGTTCAACTATAGAGGTCCAACTAATACAGTGAACAAGAGAGAGCAAGAAAAAGAGAATGAGAAAGGTAGAGATAAACAAATACACATGAAAACTTGTATAGAACAGTTAAGTCTCCCTTTCTACTTTAAAATACACACACACATTTTGGGAAAATTTGAAATAGAAGATGTGAATTTGCGCTTCCATGGATACCGAGTGTGAACATCTTACCAAGCTGAATGATTCTAGAGTTTAAAGATAAGTTTTTGTTTTGTTTCAACAAAGACCCTAAGTGCAATATAATGTGCTTGCAAAGAAATTGTGCCTTATTGGGGAAGTAAGAGGTCTGTTTGTATGGTTTGTTTTGATTTTCTGCTTATTTTTCTTAAATCAACTATTTTGATTGAAGTATAACATATATACAGAAAAGTTACAAAAATCTCAAGTGTGAGTTATCACAAAGTGAACATACCTGTGAAATTACCAGAAAAAGAATTATCAGCAAGTAAGAAACATTCCATCATGCTCCCTCCACAGTATTATTACCATCTTTTTTTTCCAAAGGTTATCACTTTCCTATCTCTTAAGAACATAGATTAATATTAATCAGTGACCACTATATAGTCTGTACAGGAAAATTTGGTGCAGAGAAGACATTAAGCATGAAAACTATAGAATTAATTGTAACATTGGGAATTTAAGGCTTAATGCAGATACACTACTGTATTATATACCTTACTGAGCTAAGGCCATTATACTATATACATAATATTTGTTATATATTTGTTAATTTACAGTTTCTGTTTCCAGAGAGAAATGGTGTGTTAAAGTGAAGTATGTTGTAATGGAAGGAACAGTAAACCAAAAAATCACCAAGTCCGGGGTTCTAATTTAATATGCATAAAGTATGAACAGTATTATTTGAATAGTTACTAAGAAAAGTCACTTCCATAATTGAAAATTATTCGGAGCAGACTTACTGCCCTAAATTCTGTCTTACAGGAATTATCAGCCATTAGAACATGCTATGCTATATCTTAATGCTTTATTGATAATAGTTTTCATCTCTCCTTACCTATTAAGCTATTACTAGTGGAAGACAATTACCTATCAGCTCATATGGGGCTACACAATGTTGCACACCAGAATTTAATATTAAAGTATGTACATTTTCGACATTTGTGTTTTCTCTGAAAATTAGGAAATTATTATGATTTATCACTTACCTTTTTTGAATGTTGTAAGTCTTGATCTTAATCTTCTAAACCTGATTACTTTTCAATATCCTAGGAAAACAAATTCCTGGACCAGTGTTCTGTATAATAGAGCAAGTCTCACCTAAGTAGTACCCAGTTGTGAGGCCAGGCCTAATAAAGGCCAAATATACATTTCAAGTAATGTTCATATAGTGCTTAGCAGCTTACTGAATTCCTTCCTTGTTTATAAGAGTTTTATTTTGTTCTTTTGGGTATTCTAAACATCTGATTATATCTCTGTAACATTAATATCTCTTATTTCCTTCAGTTGATTAAATCTGTTAATGGTTTATTTTAGGAAAATGTTAATAATATTGGGGATCCTTGTCTTCTTTCAGTGTTTGATAGGAGTGCTTCTAAATGGTGCTTCTAAAGCACCATTAAGCATGATGCTTTTTTCTGGCATGATGTATGCATTTTATGATGCTAAGAAAGTACTTATTTTTTTTTTATTAAGAATATTATCAGGAATTATCTACCTTAGCCCTAAAGCCATCTTATTTTATGGAGAATCATTAGAGGCATTTCCATGAAGATCATAAACAAGGCAAGGACACCCACTATTTCTACTTCTATTGAACAGCGCATTAGAAGTATTAGCCCATGTAGTTAAACTACAGAAATCAATTAGAGGCATAGAATGGGTAAGCCAAAAGGAAAACTGTCTCATTTTAGAGATGATATGATAGTACTTTGTCTGGAAAACTCCACAGTTGATGATAAAACTCAAACAGTAAAGTAATTCAGGAAAGTGGCAGGATATAAAATTAACATACAAATATCAGTCTTCATATACACAAATAATAAACAGAAGATATAAGGTTAGGGCAAACCTTACTTATAGTAGCAACAAAGAAAATTAAATACTTGGGAAAAATCTAGTAAGAAATGTGTGAAACCTGTAAGAGGAAAAGTTTTAGACACTCCAAAGAGACAGATGTAGACTTGAAAAAATGGAGAGATATCTCTTATTCTTAAATTCTATGACTTGAAATGGTACAGATATCAGTTCTTCTCTAAATTAATTTATATATTTCCTGTAATTCCAATAAAAATACCAAAACTATTTATTGAAATTAGACAAGTTGAAAAAAAGTTCATGTGGAAAAATAAACATGTAAGAATGGCCAGGAAAACACTGGAAAATAAAAACTTTGAAGAGAACTAGCCCTACCAGACATAAAACATACTATATAAATTCTCTGTAATTAAGTGGTGTGGTATAACAATAGAAGAAACAAAAAGAAGATGAAATGAACAGAGAAGAACTACAAAAACAACTGGAAAACAGGTAATAAAAGGGCCTAAGTAAACACATACCAATAATTACTTTATATGTCAGTGGACTAAATGCACTGATCAAAAGACATAGGGAGGGATGGGATTTCCCTGGTGGCGTAGTGGTTAATAATCAGCCTGCTGGTGCAGGGGACAAGGGTTTGAGCTCTGGTCCAGTAGGATCCCACATGCTATGGAGCAACTAAGCCCATGTGCCACAACTACTGAGCCTGTGAGCCACAACAATTGAGCCCACCTGCCACAACTACTGAAACCTGTATGCCTAGAGCCCATGCTCTGCAACAAGAGAAGCCACTGCAATGAGAAGCCTGCACACTGCAACGAAGAGTAGCCCCTGCTCACTGCAACTAGAGAAAGCCTGTGTGCAGCAACTAAGACCCAACACAGCCATAAATAAATTTAAAAAAAAAAAAAAACATAGGCTAATTGGATTACAAAACAAGACCCTTCAGTATGCTGGCTATAAGAGACTCCCTTTAGGATGAAGGGCACACACACTGAAAGTAGGTATGGGATAAGTTATTTCATGCAAACAGAAACGATAAGAAAGCAGGGGTAGCAATACTCATTTCAGAAAAAATTAAAACAAAGGTCGTGATGAATCACAAAGAAGGGCAGTATATAATGACAAAGGAATTGATACAAGAAGAGGATATTATACTTGTTAACATATGTGC